AGGTCAGACGGTTGAAAGACACTTAATTATTTAATTTTTAATTTGTGGGCTAAATATACAAACAGTTTGGTGGGCCACACGGTAAACGGGTGATTTTTTTTTCCTTTTTTTAGGAGTAAGAGCAATGGAGGACGACTTATTTCTTGCTTTTTTTTCTTTTTATATAATTAATTTGTGCGGGGCTGGAAAGATAATGGTGAAAGGGGAGGTTTTTTTTATTGGTAATTGCTTTAAATAAATTTTGTATGACTCACCACTGCTTGGGCTGCGGTGCAATCGTGAGTTTGAGCAGTCTTGTTATTTCTACCATGCGGCTCTGCTGTGCATTTTGTTTTTGCGTTTCTTCACATGCTCCGTTTCTTTTTTTACTTCTTTACCTCGTGTTTCTGCAGGCACGCACAAGCACACGCACACAGAGTGCAAATCACAGTGGATTCGGATGTTTCTTTTGCGGTGCGTGTGGCAGCAGCGTGTGGGTGCTGCTTTTTCCCGTGGGCATGAGGCGAAGGGAGGAGAGAGGCAGCGCGCAGGGCGAGTGTCTCTTCCTGATGGTGTGGGGGCGCTTCGTGTGACCGCATGGAGTGGGGCGCCGCGTCGTGGATGGATGAGGAATTGCTTCTGCGTGCGGCTCTTTGGGTGATTGCTTGCTCCGTGTGCGTTGTGTTTGTTGGCAGCGGGGCTGTGGCCGTATGCCGTTGGCCGTGGGAATGAACTGGAGGCGGTGGCGGTGTGTCCCTTCTCTTCCCCTTCCATTGGTGGTTGATTGCTGGCGGTGTGTGCGTTTGTTGTGTGGAGGGCCGAATCCTCTCACCCGCGGACAGACAGCGCTGCGATGGTGTCTGTGTGTGTCAGAGGGCTGGTTTGGGCGATGGTCCTCCGTGCTGCCCCTTCCGGATTGTCTTTTGTCCCGCTCTCTGCGTGGGTGCTCTGCTCTGCTCTGCTCCTCACTGACCTTTCTTGTGTATTGCCGCTGTTGCTGTCTTTCTATTTCTTGCACATGCACACACGCTAGGAAAGCAAGCAAACGAACGCGAATCGCTACTGTGAGATTCGAAGGCTCTGAAATTTCCAACCACAGCACACACACCGCACACACACACATATTTGTATGCTCTCCCGTGTTGCTGCTGTCATGGCACCCCGCACACACAACCGTCGCCGCGTGACCGGATCCAGCGGAGGGAGGGGGAAGGAGGAGAGAGTGAGCCGCAGAGGCCCAACATGTCGCGGCGTGTGTTTACTTCCGCGGTGCTTCCGCTCTGCTTTCTGCGGATGGGCTGCGGCCCCTGTGATGCTGTTGTGGAGAGCAATTTAAATTGTGTAATTATCTTTCACTGAGAGGAATCAATTTCTGATTCAATGGATGCCACGAGGGTGGTCAATTGTGATTTGTTACGTGTAGCTTTTCTTTTTGGAGTGAGTGGTGTTGTTGTGGCCATTGCTGAAGCGCATTTCAAAAACAACAAGGATGGCAAATTGCGTGTTGGCATTGCTGCAAAGTCGATGGAAGTCAATGGAGGGACGTGGACGAATGGAACTGGCATGATGTTTGATTATTACGACATTAAAGTTGACCGCCTATTGAGCCCAACGACTATTATGGCTGATGGAGAAACATATGCTCTTGTCGGGGGTTATGGCGAGTCAGGGGCTCCATGGACGAAGGTGGCTGTTGATGGCTATTGGTCGTCCAGGTATGCGAGGAGCACTGTTTTGTCTGAATATGATGATAAGGATAAGAGGGAGTTTGAGTGGAATCAATAAAAGACTTCGGGAGTTTTTCTTGACAGCATTTTGAAGGATTTCAAACCCAACGCCGAACCCCACAAACAATTTCTGGGTTGTGGCGGTGCATGCATTCGGCTGGATGACGATGATTCTTATGTGCAGCCCATTCAAGCACTTACTAATGGCGGAGAGGTCGTTTCTTTGGTCATGCTCGCCAAAGGTGTAGTGTATGATAAGGAGTTTTCAAATGATAGGAGCCATGAGGGCTGCATCCAGCCTGCGGCGCTTGAATGGGAGGGCAAAGGTCTCCGCATGATGACGTCGTGTGAGGACGGCAGCCGCAGGGTTTGCAGGGCGGACGGAAAGGGGGAGTCGGTGGACGGAGGCATACGACACTTTTTCAGGCGTGTGGGGCAATTCACGGACACGTACAGGGCACGGCGTGCAGGGTGGCTTCGTCAGCGCGACGATCGATGGACAGAAAGTCATCCTCGTCAGCCGGCCGGTATAATCTGGGAAGGAGGGAGAAGAAGAAACGGGTCGGCTTCACTTGTGGCTGACGGACATGCAGTGAATTCATGATGTTGGGCCGATATCCGCTGAGAATGACAAGTTTGCCGCCAGCACTCTGCTGTACGCCGCAGACAAAGCGTCATTGCGGAAATAAGCGAAGAAGGAAAAGTGAAAACTGCACTGCTCGTACGAGGTCGCTGCTGCGGAGGGAGGCAAGTACAACATTGCCTTTTTGGACGTGACGGGGAATTTGAAGGAAATGGAGAAGGTGTTGGCTGCCTGGAAGGAAAGGGACGCGTGCATTGCGAGGGAATACGGCTGCGGGAATGAAAAGAATGACAAGAAGCGCAGTGGTTGTGGTGGTGATTTTGGCAAAGGGCTGGTTGGCTTCTTGTCCAGCACGTCAACTGTGAATACATGGAGTGGCGAGTACCTCTGCGTGAATGCAACCGTTCACTGGGCAGTGACAAGTACTCCTGATGGTGGACTGACTTTCCAAAGGTCTGGAGCGTGGGCGGAGAGGCCCGTTGGCGAGCAGGGGCAGAATCAGCTGTACCACATCGCGAACTACAACTTCACTCTTGTGGCGACGGTGTCGGTCGCCGAGGTGATGGAGGGCATCGGCAGCTCCTTTCCTTTGATGGGTGTGCGGATGAACGACTACAAAAGCACGCTGTCCTTTGATCTGTTGTACGCGAAGAAAAATAAGTGGGAGATAATCTTCAACGGCAGTTGTTTGGCGCTGCCGGCGGATGCCAAGTGGGAACTGAACACAACACATAAGGTGGGACTGGAAATGGATTACTTTAAGGAGTTGCTTGTGTACGTGGATGGATTGACGGTATACGACGGTGGTGGTGAGGATTACAGCTTCTTTGAAGAGACAAAAACAATGTTGGGGTCCCACAGCGTCTCACACTTTTAAATTGGCGGCGACGGCAAAAGGGACTCAGGCAACATTTATGTGACGGTGAGCAACGTCCTGCTGTACAACCGCGCATTGTACGATGACGAGCTTAAAGCACTAATGAAGACGAAAGCAGTCGCTGCTTCAGAGGCGAGGGTGCCGGCCCCGAAAGGTGCGCCTGAAAGCAGCCACGCAAGTGAATCTTCTGATGAACCTGCCAATGGGTCCGTCGCCATGGATGAGGCGCGGCAGGACGCCACATCATCATCACCACAAAGACAAGACTCAACAGCGCAACCATTAGGAAATAAGAAGGGCCCAGCAGTTTCTAGGCAAACCTTTTCTTCTGACGTAATTGGCCTTACCACCCCAGCTGCCAAGGGGGAAATGGAAGAAGAGGCGGCGAGCAGTGGTGGAATGGCGCCTGCATTGTCTCCAACACCGAGCGCGGGCAGTCGTCAGGAGGTACTTGAAGCCAAGAAACCTTTCAGTGGGGAGCGCCCTGAGGGTGGCCAGGAGCCCTTGCCTCCCAACTTGGCTGCATCGACGATGGGGCAGGCGGGCAAGGCGGATGAAGGCTCTCTGCGGAACGGAAACGAAGACGATTGGATGCAGCACAGAATTTCACTGTATGTTTTGAGGAGCGTGCACAACGAGCCGGCCAATGCCGACACGCTCACGAGCGAAGAACAAGACGCTGACCGTGAAGAGGACATGCGTGTCCGCACTGCCGTGGGCACGAACAGCGGCCCCGATTTACTCAACAGCACTCACGTGACGCCCGCGGATGCCACCACATCCACGACTGCGCCCAACAGAGACCAAACAATTGTTCACCACAAGGATAACGTGTCGGATGACGTTGGTGCTGCGCCGACTCCCACGAGCACAGCGCCTGGTGGACAGAGACCCATTGGAGTCCAACGCAGCGCCGCCTTTGGGCAACGACATTTTTGATTTGGAGAATATCACCGAGTTGATGTCCATTGGTTTAATTGGCGACAGCATCGTCCATGGATGTGTGTCTCGGGCGTTTTCGCTTCTGCCTTTGGGACTGTGTGGAGTCGTGGCAGGCTCATGAGCCAAAGGGTGTGGATGTGCGGCTCCTCACGGAGAATATTTACCGCTTTTCCCGCGGTCCTTCTTTTGTTTTGTTTTCTATAATATATATATTTTTGATGTTGCATTATCATTGCCTGCTGCTGGTTTTCTGTTGGGATAATCATCACTCCTCCTCTTCTCTTCTTTTTAATGTTCGTTTGCTGCATACCGTCATGAGTGACGTGCTTTCTTTCTTCTTTGATTTTTTTGTCCACACGCGGTGCCGACCTCACTGCTGTGCAGTCCCACCGACCGCACAAAAGGAGGAGTGGAGGGGACAGGCCGGAAGCCGCATGAAATGTGAGGGATGTTGTGTGGACTCGTGGAACAGTGTGCTCTTTTTGAAATATATTTCATTAATTTTTTGTTTGTGTGGGTCATACGTAAGTTCTGCCGGAGCCTTATCATTTTTTGTTTTGTTTTTGCCCTTTTGGTGAATCCCAGCGACCCGTTTCCGTTTGTGCCGTGCCTGGTGTCACTGGGGTTTTCCGTGCCGACGAGTGTGTGCGGAGGGAGCAACGCTGACGGTGACAGTGGGAGTGTGGGGAAGGGGCGTGGGCGATGAGCGCTCATTGTTGTTTGTGTTGTTGTTGTTTTAATGCGCCCTCCTGCTTGTTGTTGTTGTGGTGCGTGATTCTCATCGCTGGAGGTACCGTTGCGTGGTTGTTTGACTTGTCTCTCTCCTTTGTTTTTGCTCTGCGTTGACGGGGGGTTAGTTTGTGCTGAAGGCTACACGCAAGTGACAGGAGTGATGGTGATGATGATGATAACTGAGCGTGTGCTGCTGGTGTGTGCCCTCTGCGTGCTGTGGTGCGGTTTATGTGGAGTTGCGGCCGATGATGTTTATGTTCCTCCTGGTGATAGTGGAACTTCCGGCAAAAATGGAGTTGGGGTTGGTGTTCAGCCTCCTGTCCTATCTGACAGTCCTGGTGCTAATGAGGATCCAACGGATAAAGATACTGAGGAAAGTGAAAGTGGTTCCCTGGAGTCTGACGATTTGGACGGCCAATCTTTACCTACCGAAGCTGTTAAGGATGGTGTGGTGGCAGATGTCTCTGAGGACGGTTTACCCCGTCAAGAAGAGGGCACCATAGTTCCACCGGCTCAGCCGGAACCAGTGCCTCGTGTTGAATTGCCGTCCGAGGTGAAGGCAACAAGGCCACTCGCTCCGAATCCGCAGGAACAGCCCCCCAAAACACCAACGGAAGATGACCCCCTTAGCACAGGTCCCGGAGGGAACAGACCATCTGGGGAACTCGCGGAAACGGCCTCTCTATCTCCTCCAAAGGACGGCGGTGCTGCCAGCGATCAAACTGCCGGAGGCACCACGGACAAAAGTCCACACAATGATCCTCTGCCTGGGGCCGCGGTTACGGTGCAAAACCACCGTGAGGGAAGCACAGAACTGAGCGAGAAGGAAGCAAAATCAACAAGGGCAACTGCCAGCACAACTGATCCGGGGAGTACACAGAACAGCAGCATCAACCCTGCAGCAGGACCTTCGGTGCCTCAAGAAGAGGCGGCTACTCGTGACGCCTCCCCCACACCAAAACCCGCGTCTTCTGCTGCTGGCGCTGAGGGTTCCGCTGGTACTCCTCCTCCACTTGAAACTCCGGGCAGCGCTGGTGGTAACTCTCCTGCTGGCATTGCTGGCACTGGTGGCACGAC